AAACATCGAAAGCTTGAATGTTAAGGTGAAATAATTTACAATATGCTGATCCCAAAAGTACACTACATATATATACATACAAGTTACGCATAAAGAGTTTACTAAATTTGAATGTTGATTCATACAAACAAAAAAAAATCCTTTGGTATAATTTCTTATTTTACTTAACAAACAAAAAAATCCTTTGGTAACCCAAAAAAAAAAATGTTACCAGATGTACTTTAAACATGTATAATTTTTTTTTTTCTGCTTGACTAAACATATCTGGTTTTTTTTATAAAAATTATAAGAACTTGAATCCCAATAAAACAGCTGCACGCAAAATATTAGTAAAGCTGTGAAGTGACATGCATATTCAAATATTTGGTTTTGTATAATAACAATCACGACTTTTCTATAAAAGAAAAGGTTTATTCACTTAAACATGTGATTAGATAAGAGTAAGACTCAAACAAACAAACAAAATACTACTAGGATATAAACAAATATGACAAATGAAAAGGTGTACTAATGTCTTCGATTAACGAGGGACTACGTGGTGTAATAATGGAGAAGTGTGAAATTGGTACTAAGTACTAACCAAACAAATACAAGTAATGAAACTTTGTGATAATAGAATATAATTAAATCTGATTTTTACCAATGGTTGCAAGGAGAGGAGACTGGATATAGAGTTTCGGCTAAATATATTTGTTGTGCCATTAGAGACGTAACCATCAGATAGGCAAAAGTCAAAGTCAAAGCCTTTCACACCTACATGTAACATGCCCACATCCTCTTTATATAGGAGTCGATTTTTTGCTAAATGCTTTCGTTCTTATCTTTAGACCCTAATCTCAATTTTTTGTTTGAATATACGTATATAATACACATAACTTTCACTATTTTAATCAATAAATTTATATTAACGTCATAGGTCAAAAACAAAAACAAAACCAGTCGTTTCCGTTTGGCTTTGCGTATATACTTTACAAAAGTACTAGTTTTTTTTTTAACACATGTAAACGTATAAATTATCCGTAATCTTTCTATTCAATGTACAAAATTACCTAAAGTTATCATTATTGTTGATGCTATTTAAATGAATCTGTAATTCATACGATACCACACAATGGGTA